TGTACCTGTTGTATTGTACTGTTCTTCCCGAGACCACATGAGTTGGCTCGAATGTTGTAACGTCATTACTTAGGTGTCTGCAATGAAAATTGTCCTTTCACCAACAAGCAAGAATCTCGCCAACATACTGCAGCCGGAACCGACTTAAACTTCCGTCCTTTGTTGCCCAAACCACCACAATGTCGCTTAAACTTCCGGCCTTTGTTGCCCAAACGACCATAATGTCGCTAAAACTTTGTAGTCCGACCGGCAATTGACCGACCGTCATAGCCGCTCGGACTCGGGGGGCTATACACGCGTTTTTCGCGTTTGCCTCCTTACCTTTGTAGTCCGACTGGCAATTGACCGACCGTCATAGCCGCTCGGACTCGGGGGGCTATACACGCACTTTTTCGCGTTTGCCTCCCTACCTTTGTAGTCCGACCGTCATAGCCGCTCGGACTCGGGGGGCTATACACGTGTTTTTTCGCGTTTGCCTCCCTACCTTTGTAGTCCGACCGGCAATTGACCGACCGTCATAGCCGCTCGGACTCGGGGGCTATGCACGCGTTTTTCGCGTTTGCCTCCTTACCTTTGTAGCCCGACTGGCAATTGACCGACCGACATAGCCGCTCGGACTCGGGGGGCTATACACGCGTTTTTTCGCGTTTGACTCCCTACCATTGTAGTCCGATCGGCAATTGATCGACCGTCATAGCCGCTCGGACTCGGGGGGCTATACACGCGTTTTTCGCGTTTGCCTCCATACTTTTGCAGTCCGACCGGCAATTGACCGACCGTCATAGCCGCTCGGACTCGGGGGGCTATACATGGGCCATGATCAGACTCAGAACGACAACACTTAAAAGCATAAAAGCAAAAATAAAATGGAAGCACGCAACACAAGCATGTTAATTGAACGGCGTTTTAAAATGTCCGGCACAACGGGGCCGGGCTCCCGGACAGTGTTTACATTCAAAAAACCCCGAATGTCAGCTACTGACGGTTCAGTTCGCGGGGTCCTTCTCGGCTGCAGTAGAGGGCTCGGCTTCTGTCTCGGTGTAGGGCATCGGACCGGGATCGGCAACGCTTTCCGGCAGGTTGGTAAGGATCGTGTTGAGGTCGTCCCCCTCGAACACCTCCGACAGTACAGACCTCACCTCCCGGTGGGGATCTCGCTGCCCGAACGCGTAGGCCCAGTTGCCGAAGACCCACACCATGTCCTCGGCCACCTTATGCTTGATGAATGCCTTGAAGAATTGCTCGGCAACCGCCGAGTCTTGACAGAGGGTGGCAGCTAAGCCCACCTGGTCCTGCAGCCGCGAGCGGAGGTCCTCGACTTCCTTCTGGACCTCGGCAGACTCCCCGATCGCCTTCTTGGCGATGACCTCGGCGAGATCCTTGCCGTCCTCGGCCGCCTTCAACTTCTTCCCTAGCTCCCTCACCTCCTTCTTGAGGGCATCGCTCTCCGACCCACTCTTCGAGCGGTAATAGAGGGATGTAAGCACTCGGGTGAGCTGAAAAGGAGGGTGTTAGCCAAACGGATAGGGAGTGTGTTAGCCGAACGAATAGACTTAAGCATAACCGAGATGAGAAAGAACATACCTGCACAAGGTTTTGCGCCCCGCGCTTAGAAACCTGTTCGGGGGTCCACCCGGCCATGTCATCCTCAGCCGGGAAGATAGCGCTCATTTTAGCCAGCGGATTGCTCGGAAGGTCACCGCCCGTTAGAGAGTTCATGAGAGGGGTCAGATCGGGAGGACTCTGACGGCGTGCCCGCTTGATTGCACCCTCCGACTCCCCCACCTTCTCCTTGCCACGCTTGCCCGTGGCCTTGATGATTTGCAAGTCCAACCCGCTGCTCAGGGTCGGACCCGTCTCGTCAACCCGAGCGGTTGTGTCGAGCGGAACCGCGATCAGGACAGCAATTACTGGAACGGCCGTCAAAGGCGCGTCGGGCGCCGCCACCTTCTTCCCGCCTAGGGCCGTCTTTGGCCGAGGGACCTTAACAGCTGAAGGAGCCGTCTGGAAAGTACGACCGGGCTTCATACCTGCAAGGAAGTAATGACTGGTTAGTCCTTCTGAAGAATGAGAGAATGGAAAAGTGGAAAGAAGTCCTGCCGCCCGTGCAACGACCCCGCCTACGAACCTTCCTGATCGGAAGCCAGCGCGGCCGGTGGCGCTGCCACTGTCACCTCGAGGCGTTGGGGATCATACTTCTCCGGTTTGTCATACCGGGGTGGCTCAAGGCGGGCTTCCTTGTACTCGGCGGCCGACCTGAAGATGAGGAACTCGTAGTACTCGGAGGAAATCCTAGCAGCTGCGGTCTTCAAGGCCTGAGTAGGTGCGGGGCGCTTACACGCGGTAAAGTGGCGCGACCAAGATCTCTTGACCGAGAGCCGCCAAGGATACTCAATCAAAACCAACCGGTTCTTCCAGCCGCGGTTGTTCTTCGGGAGATCAACGATGTTACAGTGGTGGCTCCGGGTCTGAGCGGCTAAGAATCCTCCTCCGTAACGAGCCGCGAGCGGATGAACCGTGTACAAGAAGTTGAACAGCTCGACGGTGCAGACTAAACCGTGTCGGGCGTAGATCTGTGGAAAACACGCTATAATCCGGTGCACATTAGGGTAGATCTGGCCCGGGAGAACGCCGTAGTGCCTCATGAAGGCGAGGAGAAAGGGACTGAACGGGTAGGTCACGGGAGTCTTGATAGAGTCCAGGTGCATCCCCAACCAAAGTCCCTGCGTCCGTTCGACGACCGTCCCTTGGGACCTCCGAGTATTGAACAGCACTTGCCCGGTCAAGAGGGTAGCAGCGTCCTCGGCCTCCTTCTTGGTCAGTTTGCTCTGGTGCTTCTCGGCGGACATGCTGCTCAAGAAAACCCTCTTCTTAGATAGCAGGTCGTCAGCCAATTGGGCTGCCGACCTGGGAGAAAGCGATGGGTCCAGGGCCGCGGCCAAAACGCCCGGCGGCAAACCCAGTCCCTCGTTGCCGTAGGTTGGGAGATCCTGCCCAGAAGTTCCGGGCGCCCCGGCAGAGTCACCGTGTTCGCCCGGCCCGTAGCGCGGCCGGTCTTCCTCCACAGCCTGACCGGGCGTGGGAGCTTCGCTCGGTATACCACTACCACCGGGTCGCCCGACGGCCAGCGTGTTATCAGCATCTGCCCGAGGAGAGTGGGCACCGCCGTGGCTTGCCGAATCGGAACGTCGGGATGAACTGCTTTCGGACTCCGTTCTCGCCGACCCGTCATCGCTGCCGGTTGCATAATCCCGTGCCGAACAGTTTTGGCTGTCGGAGCTCGACATATTTGCGCCCCTAAAAGATCAAGGGGGAGAAGTAGTGTTCAGACGCCGGTGCCCCACTTAAAAGACGCCCAAGTCATCGACCGACCTATCCCTAAGGGCCTAAACGATTCTAGGATCGTTAAAGATAAGGAAAAAAGGGAAAGGGTAGAAAAGCTAACTTACCGACTGAGAAGACTTAGAAGCGGTGTTGAGAAGTTGGATGGTCACTCGGGAACGTCCGGTTGTTGGCAAGAAGTAGCGAAAGCGTGTGGGGACCTCAGCCACGCCGCTATTTATAGGGATAGGAAGCTGACGCAGAAACGCTCCGCGTACCGATTTTTCAGGCCCGCATCTCGAGAGGTTGCACAACTGACGCGTGCCCCACCGTGTTCTGAACGGCCCACGGCGCGGGTGCAGGTACCCCGCGATCCACGGGAGCCCAGCCCCGGGTACACTTCCCCAAGGCCTTGGCTCGAGCCCCTCCTCCAGTGAAGCGTCGTCCGACCACGAGCCAGGGGGCTATATGATAAGGATATACGCCCGGGATCAAGGATGTACGCCCGGTATCCGAGTGTCTCAGGGCCGGGTCGCTACCCGACCCTCGCAGCTAAGTCGTATGGCCCACCCCGGGCGGGAGCGACCGGGAAAACCCGGCCGTGCCCCGGGCAAAAAGGTGCCTCCGGGAAACCTCCGGGAGGCGGACGGCCCGCCGAGTGATGTTGGCCGGAGGCCGGTTAGTAATACTCGGCTGGAGGAAAAGGAGTCAGATCCTAGGCGCCGCGTGGCAGGCGGCCACAGGTAACGCCCGGTGCATGCTCACCATGTGTCCAACATGCCGAAGGCCCGGCGCCACCCACTTTTGGACCCTATAAATAGCGCATTAAATGCTCTGGTGAAGAGACTTTTGGGGGACGAGGCAAGACCGGACCTTCCCGACCCACGTGAGAGATCCGAGCCTTGCTTATGACCATATAAATATACCACTCTGTATAAACAGTATCAATATATATATATATATATATATATATATATATATATATATATATATATATATATATATATATATATATATATATATATATATATATATATATATATATATAAAATTGTTTTTAGGTGATTTAATTTTAGTAGGATTAGTATTTCATCTTTTCGTCATTCATTCATGTATTGTCTACCGATACCGGACTTCTCTTTTGCCGAAGCACTACGTCGTTCCTCACTTTTGCCAAAACATGGAATGTGTTAATTTAGGTATGTTTTCCTACGTGTTTTGGATTTTTTTATACTATCGTTTCATTATGGTGTGGGGGTGGGAGTGTGTTTGTTGTTCGGAATCGTTTAGTTGTTCTGAAATTCGAAATAACAATTGTTGTCCCGGGTAAAATGATTAACAGACAGTAAAGACACTGATAATTCAGGAACGTGTAAAAGATTAGACATTTTTAAGGACTTTTTGACCGTAGGAATTACTGCATGACCCACACGCGAGATCACCAAACCTGTGTCGTTGCCCACTGTTAGAACATCATCTCCGTGGTAGTCTTCGGGATTGATGACTACGCCTGAATCGGGTGTGGCGTGGGTTGACGCCCCGGTGTCCGGCAGCCATGTAGTGACTGCCTGCGGTGGCACTGCTCCATCTCCTGCAACGGCGACATGGGCCTGCGACGGCGGCGGCTCCGGGTACCGGCGGTAACAAAAGGCGGCCGAATGGCCTTGAGATCGACAAATCTAGCAGCGCAATCCGCCGTTCCGGCCACGCCCGCCGCGACCGCCGCGTTGATTGCCACCACGTCCACCTCCACCACGAGACTGCCGGCCACCGTCTCCTTGCTGGCGTCTGCCCCGACCGGCGTACAATGCTGCTGGAACTCCGCTCTGCGTCGCCGGTTGGTAAGTCGGATAATCATCAGCGTGGATAAATTGTTGCGCCTGGAGGTAATCTGCAAGTTGCGGGATCGAAACCGATCTGCCCGCGATCGCCAGTGAGGATGCGACTGCCCGGAACTCCGGCCGCAACCCACGGAATACGTACAGATTTTGCTCGGTTAGAGTTAGAACCCGTCCGGCCAGTGCAAGGTCCTCGACCAAGCGTTGTGCACGGCCCAAGTACTCCTCCGTGGAACTATCACCTTGACGCAAGGTCTGAATCTGCCCAAACAGATTGAGACTCCGGACTTCCGTCGATGACCCGAGAGCTGTCTCCGCCGCCAGCCATACGCCTCGTGAGGTTATCCGACCAAGAGCCAGATACATGACTTCCTCTGAGAGGGAGGAAATCAGTAACAAGAAGATAGATGCGTCCAGCTGCACCCACACTCCGTACGCTAGATTCTCGGTGGAGGAGGCGGCATCGCCTGGATTGTCGCCAGCCGGAATGTCGATCTGCGGGGATGGGCACGACCGCGTACCATCGACAAAGCCAAGGAGGCCTTGGCCTCGTAGGAACGGTATAACTTGCGTTCGCCAATACAGGTAATTCCGGTGTGTCAACTTAAGCGACACGAAGTGATGCGCACTCGTGAGTGTGTTTGGACCGGTGTTGGCAGAGGAAATAGTGATGGCCGTGGGGGTGCACTCAGAACTTCCGGTCAACATGATCGACGTGAAGAGAGAGAAGGGTGAGAGGGGGATTATGTCTGGCTAACTGATACCAGATGAGAGTGGAAGCGATTGATTATTGAATAACTAAATCAGGAATACAAATATACTCTCAAGAGAGAGACCTAACTAATAGGCTAAAGACTAGGACATTTATTCTATGCTACACATTATACATCAGAACATATAATTAAATAACATATTCTAATAGTTTGCAATGCTCCTTTTCTCGTTCTTGATCATGCTGTATTGATTTTTATTCTCCCGCCAATGTGTGCATGTCTGTTTCTACCGTGTGCATGGCTGTTTCTACCGTGTGCATGGCTGTAATCTGGCGAGCGCCAATGTGTGCATGTATGTATTCTAACGTGTGCATCTCTGTACTCTTTCGTCCGCACATGCGTCCTACCATCTCTATTACCCTTAGTTTTTTTTTTTTATCTCTTTAATATTATAAGTTGTTTGTAGGGTAGTCTAGGAGAGGGATTATTGTCCTTGTAATCTCCAGGTTGTGGCATTTTGTTGTAGGTGTGGCCACTAGCAGGGGTGGTGTGAAGCAGGTTTTGAATGATTTTTATAGTTGTGTTGCTCTTGCAAGAGATAGCTCAGATCGTGTTATGGAGTTGTTCCGTGTTTTGAAGGAGTTGAGACTGTCATTTGTCAACGCCGACAATAGTCTTGCTACATCCGTTGGTAATTATAGTGTCGCTCGGGCAATTTGGTGGTGTGCTCATGTCTCCTGATATTGTTGTCCACCCCCCAACCGTTGCTAAGAATAAGGGTCCTGGGAAGCGTTCGTTTTAAATCGCCAAAAGATCTTGCTGTAGAGAAGGCTGCAAACTCAACCCGGGAGTGTAAGACTTGCCACAAATATGAGGGACATGACAACCGCAATTGCCCCCTCGAGCCAAAGCGTAGATCTGTTTCTTTACCTGTGCATTTAGAAAGCCCTTGAAATTATTAAATTGCACATTCCTTCTGTTTGTACGTTTAATCTAAATTGTGTAATATGGTTACTAGTATATGCCTTCCGTTTTATCCACTTAATTATTACTTAAAGCTTTTCCAATACATATTACAAGTGTATTGTCATGTGTGTGCACCTACTTGGGTCTATTTGTGCATGTTAGATTAAACGCATCTCCTGTGTAGTGCATGGATTTGTGAACCCAAGCATTTCACTGTGTGCCATTTAAATAATTCCGTGTTGGTTCTTAGTCTACGCTTAATTGCAGTTTTTTTTTCCCCACATTCTATTGTATGTTGTTGCATTACAAATGATTGGTGATGTCTGTGCAACTACATGAGGCTATGTGTGCATGTGACTGTTTACTCGTGTGTTGTAAAACAAGGGAGCGTGTGCACCTATGCATTTCACCATGTGCCTTTTGGCCACATTCGAGGTGGACTTTCCATTAGTTTTTTACCCCATTGTTGGGTAATGGGTTGATCATAATTGGTTAAACTGTATGAGTTTATCTGGGAGATTTCCTATTAATTAACATGTGTGTGCACCTACTAATGGCGCTGTGTGCATGTGCTTGAGGCAGTGTGTGCACGTTAATATTTTCTCATGCGGCGTTCAATACATGGGTGTGTACACTTGTTTTATGGTGTGCATGCTAGTTAAACTATGATGCTGCGAAGTTAGTATGTCACCCATGATATGGACTGTCGTACAATACATTAGGGTTTCAAAACTTCATCTGCACTAGTACTCATGCCTATTACATGCCCACTGTTTTCATCTCCAGTTGTTAATACATTGTGAGTAACAAAAAATATTGTCTACTTCAATATCAAAATGAGTACGTGTAGTAGCAAAATAAATCACTGTCACATCTGCGGAATAGAGCATGTTGGAAATTAGTTGCATGCTTGATGTTGGAAGCGCGGTGGTCGTTGATCTCTGGCATTAGGATCACCTTGGGACTGTGCAGCTCTTGCAGCCTCAATGACAATCCATAGGGTGTCTAGGTTGGCCGAGAATTCTTCATCACGTTGAGTGTCTTCAGGATCAGGGGTTCCCACTTCCTCTCCTCATTCCCACTAGGTGTTCTATTGTTTGGTGAAATTGTCGGAGTATTCCTTACTTCACGGTCACATCATCAGTTTCCTCAATCAGAAGCTCTAGGTCCACCAAAATATTGTGACTCACTCTTCAAATGGCTATCATTATAGGAACAAAAAATTCACATAATAACAACTACACTTTAGAATCCTACCATAACAAAATTCTGGAAACCTAACTCTATTTAACCCTGTGTCACTTACGTACTCTGTGTGTGCACTCTCCAGCTTCACCGTATGCCATACACTTTAAGTGTAACAGACGTGTACACATTCTAGTTTGACAAATGCATGATTTTTCTATGTGTATGTGTGCCCTGCCAATTGTGCACTCATCTGCACTTGTGTGCTTATATATGTCCTACTGTGTGCACTGTACATAAAATCCGTGTGCTGGAAATATCCACTGGGAATACAGGAAATATCCGCTATTATAAAGAATAACACTCTGTTACCTACATGGCACAGACATCTTCTTCTCCTTTCACACACACCTCAGTATTTTTTCTTCATGCTCACATGCGGAATCCCATTTATGCACATTGTTGGTAGTTTCGGCTTCAGTAATTCCCTCAAACCCTAAGTGTAGCTGGGTAAAAAAATTTAATCATTGCCGGACGGATAATCCGCCCAGCGAACCATAAACCTACACCCTCTACCCCGTCCGCCTTCTATCTCGCTGGAACCCTCATCTGGGTTGTCGTTTACCCGCCGGAGAACACAATGAGTTTTTTTTTTTTTTTTTTTTTTTTAAATAAACATATAGAAACATACCTCTACTTTCAGACCGAGTCCTCGTTTTCCCCGTCGTCTCGACCCACCCATAGCTCTGTGACAATGGCGGTGAGGGAGGCCGTAGTTTGGTTTCTTCTTCGCTGTTTTCTCGGACTCCTACGCACGCTGAAGGAGAAGAAGTCTAGAAGAGATAAAGTCCGTTTATGCCTTAAATTGTAATCACCGCTTTAGCCCCTAAGACCAAATTACCCTTCGTTTGACTATTCTTAACACTAATTAGCCGAATTGTTGCGTGTAATATTAAAATCTTAACATCAAATCTCATCCCTACATCCCTGGTTATGAATGGCTATGATTAAGTCTTATTTCTCATCTAACTAAGTTGTCTCATATGAAGTATATATATATATATATATATATATATATATATATATATATATATATATATATATATATATATGGACTTCAAATCGTGCTTGGACATCCTTTCGTCCTATTGAATTCTCTTCCTACAAGTGTATTGTAATTATATTACATATGGTTGAATAACACAAGTGATTGAATCCAACCATTTAGAACAATTCATTAGTGTGTTAGAATATTTTATTCTAATATTATTGTGACCCATGTATTAAGTGGTCTGGACAATTAAAATTTCATTGTGATAGATAAAGGGAATAAAATATGTAAAAGATCAAGGGGTTATGATTCCCCTCTCTCTGGCTTTCAATAGGGTTATTTAAGCCTATTTAATTGTATATGGGTTTATGGCCCATTATTGCCATAATTCCAATATTCAATATTGGAATATCAGTTATGTAGGGAAGGTAATATATAAGGGCATAAGCATTTCTTATCCTATCACCAGTAAAAACTTGTGAAGAAGAAAGGGCTAAAAGGTTCATCAATCTCTCATGGAATCAGGTTAGTCTTTTAACACTTCCGATTAAAGTATTGGTTAAATCATTCAATGCTTATTGTTATAGTTTTACATGTGGTATCAAGAGCAAGGTTAGGTATAATGATTTATCAATTTTTGTTTTGAAATTTGTGTATATATATGTGTTAATTTCAATTTGTGTATATGTATATATATGTGTTAATTGTGTATTGTTATTATATATGCATATTATGGTTGTATACATATACTAAAATTTCGCCGGATTAAGGATGATTTTTACGGATTAAGATTTAATTATCAGAGTTTGAATCGTCCCGTCGTAGAATAGACGGTCAGGTTGACCGCCATCGGTAGCCAATTTCTTCTCCAGCCTTGCAGCTGGAGAAGGAAAGCAGCTTTCCAACTTTCGCTACTGCATTCACCAGCGCAAGGCTGGAGAAGGTTTTTTTTTTCTTTTCTTTTCTTTTCTTTGGGCAATACGTGAAGGGTTCTAGCCAAATAGGTTATAGCCCTAGCCCATTAAAAAATTATATTATATAATAATAATAATAATAATAATAATAATAATAATAATAATATAAATGTTGCTTTTAACTATGAGAAGGAAATATTTGCTGGATTCATTGATTATTATGGTTTAGTGATTCGTGGATTTGTATGGTTCTCAAATTATTATTATTATTATTATTATTATTATTACTATTATTATTATTATATATTCTTGTGAAGAGTCTGTTATTAGTCACCAAAGTTGCTTGGCTAAGTGACAATTAGATTAAAATAATTTAAATTTTGTCTATTCAAATTGTTTTTAGTCAAGGATTCTGAGAGTCACCAAAGTGACCATGTTATATAATATTTGGACTAAATGAATGTGTTGTGTGGCAATAAAATTTTATTTCACTCATTAAGGATGTCTATTTTTTTTAGCTTGTTAGTCACCTAAGTGATCTAGTTAAATGGTGATAGATATTGATAAAAAAAATAGAATTTATTTTGCCCAAATAATTGAGATGCCTTAGATGACAATTACAATAATTATAAATTATATTGCTATGAGATTGTCCAAAGGTGAATCACTGCAAATAATTTATAATATTTAAAGAATATGATTTTAGTGCTTTGTCAAATAGCTTTGTTTATCCAAAGATGACTTGCTTATTTGACTTGTACTTGATTATTATTATTGTTGTTGTTTTATGTATTGTTGGCATCTATTAAAATTATGAAAGTCTGAATTGTTTAAACGCTTAGCATAAAAGCATTAAAGTGTAAATATGAATTTCAGCTT